TCCACAAGAAGAAAACATCTAACCCCATCAAAAAATGGGGCAATGAAATGAACAGAAACTTTCTCAAAGAAGAAATCCGAATGGCAAAAAAGCACATGAGAAAATGCTCTACATCATTAATCATCAGGGAGATGCAGATCAAAACCACAATGAGATACCATCTCACACCTCAGAGACTGGCCCACATTCAAAGGAACCAAAGCAACCATTGCTGGCGCGGATGTGGCGAGAAAGGGACACTCCTTCACTGTTGGTGGGAATGCCGACTGGTTCAGCCCTTTTGGAAAACAGTATGGACGTTCCTCAAAAAATTAGAAATTGAGCTCCCATTTGACCCAGCGATACCACTCCTGGGAATATATCCCAGAGAGGCAAAAATGTATAGTCGAAGTGACATCTGCACTTGTTTGTTCATTGCAGCACTCTTTACAGTAGCCAGAAACTGGAAGAGACCTGAGTGCCCAAGAACAGATGACTGGTTAAAGAAACTTTGGTACATCTACACAATGGAGTACTATGTAGCTCTTAGAAAAGATGAAGTCATGAACTTTACATACAAGTGGTACAATATGGAAAGTATCATGCTAAGCGAAATGAGTCAGAAAGAAAGGGATAGACATAGAAAGATTGCATTCATCTGGGGGATGTAAAATAATAAAATATGAGATTAATACCCAAGAATAGCTGAGAGCAACACCAGGAGAATTACTCCATAACTTAGAGGCCAGCCGGGTATTCTAGGGGAAAGGACAATTCAGATAGAAAGGGGAACACCAAGTGGAGGGTGTTTGGAGGATTCTCCCAGGAGGGGAGATGCAGGTTGAAAGTAGACTGGACTGAACATGTTCGCCACTCAATGCCTCTTTTGCTGATCACAACACCCAAAAGGAGAGAGAGAACAAAAGGGAATGCCCTGCCACAGTGGCAGGGGGGGATGGGGGGATGGGGGGATGGGGGGGAGGGATATTATCCTGGTGGTGGAAAATGGGCACTGGTGGAGGGATGGGTATTTGATCGTGGTACGACCGAGATCCAAGCACAAAAATTTGTAAATCTACAACTGTACCTCATGGTGTTTCACTAATAATAAATAAATAAATAAATAAATAAATAAATTTTAAGCATAATAAAAAAAAAAGAAAGAAAATGAAACTCTCATCCACTGTGGGTGGGAATGTTGCTAGTTCAACTCCTGCGGGAAAAAAAAAGTATGGACATTTCTCAGAAAAGTAAGATCAAGCTGCCATATGACCCAAAAATTCCACTTCTTGGTATCTATTCCCAGCAAACAAAAACATTAATTCAAAAGGACTTATTCATTGCAGCGCTCAGCACAATAGCTAGGATATGGAATTAGCCTCTGTATCCAGTGACAGATGAGTGGATAATGAAGGTGAGGTACATACCCACAGTGGAATACTATGCAGGTATACAGCTACAAAGAATGATGAAATCATAAAAATTTGCAACTTGCATGGACCTGGAGGCTACCAAGTTAAGCAAGGCAAATTGGAAGGACAAATACCTGGTGGTCTTAGTTATCTGTGGGAGACAAAATAACAGGAAAAGGGGATGTAACTCATGAAAGGTGGGATACCTCTATTACCCTAGTCCCTAGATTACAAAACTGAGGAGGACAAAGAATGGAAGAAATCAGAAGACATCGAGAGAGGAAGGAAGGAAGATGTTGATGGGAGGTAAAAGAAGCAGGAGGTAAGGGCCTTGAACACATCGGCAGTGCAGCAATATGGCTCTGGTGTATCTGAGCCACAAAACCAATAAAACTGAAAGCCTGGGATCAAATGAGAACCATAATACTTAACAATGTGCCTGTCAAGACTGGGGACACTGGTGGGAGGAAGTTAACCCTGAAGGCGGGATTTGTACTGGAACATTGTACATTGGAAACTCAACTACACATACATTTGGCTGTCGTAGTCCAAGCTGAAGGGCAGAAAGATGGGTACTGAGAGAGAATAATACAATATATTTTTAAAGAGAATTTCTTATAAATTATTCATTAATGTTTTTTCATAGGAAGAACATATTTATGAAGATTCTGAATATTCAAGAACAAATCTATTAACAAATATTCTTCATGAATATATTTATGAGAATAAAAACTTAAGATATTAAGAAAAAATATTCATGAAGAATGTATTTTGGAATATTAAAAACATGGGTTGGAGTGATAGCACAGCGGGTAGGGCATTTGCTTTGCATGCAGCCAACATGGCCGACTGAGTTCGATTCCTCCTCCTCTCTGAGAGAGCCCGGCAAGCTACTGAGAGTATCTGACCTGTATGGCAGAGCCTGGCAAGCTACCCGTGATGTATTCAATATGCCAAACACAGTAACAAGTTTCACAATGTTACTGGGCCCGCTCGAGCAAAATCGATGAACGGGAGGACAGTGACAGATTAAAAATATGTTCAGAGACTGGGGAGTGGTACACAGGCTAGAGCATAGTCCGTGCAGGCAACTATCCAACTCTGGTTCAGTCCCTGACATCATTTGGTCCTTGAGCACTGCTGGGTATAGCTTGGGAGGGGTCTGGGCCCCACAGTGTGACCCTCGCTCTTTCAGGCACTGTGGGGCACCTCAACCCTTTGCATTTGTATGGCCTGTTTGGGTGGTTGAGAATTGCTAAGAGTGGTTCCTGGGGTTCCCAGAGCATTTTTTGGCCCAAAAGGAAAATAGAAACAGAATATCTGTTCATAAGCGTATTCATATTCAAGAACATATTTTTCAGTCCTGGAAGCTGCAGAGATTAACTTAATATTTTTAAATGTATGTAGGGGTGAGTTATGATGGGACTGGTGAAGAGGGGGTCAACGCACAGAATTGTCCAGGTTAATAATTTGATCCTGGGGCCAGAGACAAAGCACAGGGAAAAGGTGTTTGCCTTACCAGTTCACTCCCCAACTGCATATGGTCTCCTGAACACTGCCAGGGGTGACTCCCTAGCACAGAGCTAGAACTTCCAGAACATCCTCATCACAGGCGAGTGTGTACTTCCCCCAAGACCCCTGCCCCACCCCACATGCTAAGGCTATTGTCATTACACAATCCCCTAGAGCCTAAACAAAGCATCTGATCTCTGGCACATGGTGGCCAAGGGGTCTGACCATGCTGTGCTTAGGCAATTCAACCATCATTTGTCTTGGCACAAGCCTTGGATGGAATAACTTATAGTACATTTATGAACAGCCGATCCCTGGAATCTATATTGTAAGACATTTTGGGATTTTTTAAAATTAAACTCTAATCTTTCAAATGACTTATGGCCATTTCTCTCTTCCCGAAGGGAACATAACCCAAGGAGCAAGATTTGGTTTTACGAGCACGGTGACTTCCTGGCTGGCTAATGTGTGCAACTTTTGCATGCTGAGAAAGAAACAACCCCAGGCTGTGTTTTAGGAACAGGTTATCACAACATATTTGTTAAGGCAGTGAGGTGGAGTTTTATTTCACCCGTTTATTATCATTTAAAATATATTAAACTCTTTACATAGCAGAAGCAGAAATTTTAACTGTACATGGCAGTCTACAAAAAATATAATAAATGGTAATAGAAACTCCACAAAAAACTTACATAAAACAATGATATATATTAAGATTCCATTTCAATAAGGATCTAAAGAAATGTAAATATACACACCTCTGACAACATTTTGTGTGTGTGTTTCTGCGTGCATGTGCGTGTGTGTGTGTGTGTGAGAGAGAGAGAGTTGTAAAGTTTAAGAAACTTTCCTGTCACAATCAACTTTCTTAGACTGTAAGATTCTTTTTTGAATCATAAGATGAAGCAGTAGCCAATGGGTATGATCAGGTCTGAATCTTTGATCTCTCTTGCTCCATCCCTAAAATGAGGTGCTCCACTTGTGGTGCTCTCGTAAGCTTGCTCGTGTTCTTACTGAGGATGTGTATGAAAAATGAAGGCTCTTCCAAAACTGTGGAACTAACACCACACAAAGGTAAGCCACAAATAAGAACTGTTCGGATAGAGAAACACGCTCTGTCCTTGAGAAAGTGTGCATGTTTGTGAAGAGGCGCCCACAGCTCAGGTAGCACAGCTGAAGTAGGCTCAGGACCAAGGGATTCTTCCCAGCCCCCAATCACAGCTGAAGCCCGAGGTGGCTGCAGAGAGGCAGGTGAGGCCGGACGCAGGTGGGCTTCTGTATGCCATCAAGGCCGGGTTCAGGGCCTGTCTTCCTGTAACCACTACTCTTCTCTCTCTTTACGCCCTGCAGTCTGCTGGGTACTGCTGGTAGAGATCCTCACAAGGGTCCCATCAACCCTGCAAAGTGTATGAGCTGGTTCTTTGTCCTGTTACTCCTGGGCTATGCCTGAGAGACTTGGGGAACAGCTAAGACGTAAGATGTATAAGTGAACAAAACATGGAGAATTAATGAATCATGAAAACATGGGCTGCTTTTTTTTTTTGTCAGATTTACACCTTCCTGAGTAAAGTACACAAAAATTTCACATGAAGTCTCTTAAAAACACCAGGACGCTATCTGTTACATTCACTGAACCCATAAAGGCAAATCTAAGCCAAGCTCAGGTGTCTCAAAAACATCCACAATGTAATTATGAATACTATTTTTGAAAAAAATATTTTATCACTTGAGAACAACCCTTCACTTGCAAAAAGGAAGATGACTTTTTTGATGGTGATAGAGGAGGCTAAAGGTGTACGTGTGTGGTGGTGGGTGGAAGGGGCTTCTTTGGTCCGTTTGCTGCAATGTATCAGAACCGGGAGATCTTACTTAGCCCAATGAAACGACCTTTGCTGACCATACATGTGCCTGGGCATCTGTCTGCCAACCATGGGCTCGCTCATCAGAATCCTCTAAAACATCGACACCACAAACACTTAAAAAGAAAGGTTTGGAATACATCTGGATAGGACTAAGAGAACAGTGAAAGCAAATTAATATGGGCCAATCTTATTGCTCAAAAACGCTGTTCTGGTGTAGTGGCCACTGTGATCAGAGCTACTTCCTGAGTTTCGGGCTGGAGGCCACATCTTCGTCCGAGAGATCCTGGGAATTCCTGAACATGAGGATAGAATTATAGATCTTGAGTGCTGGGCCCAGTTTGATCTTCATCACCTTGACGATGTCTGTTTGGGTCAGAAGCAGGAAGGCTTTGCCATCAATCTGCTGCAAGGAAGTAAGCAAACACCGATTTAGAATGTCCCTTGCTGCCCATTCACTCCCAGGGACCGAGATGTGAGCTGGTACCCACTGTGGGTCTGGTATCTCAAGAGCCAGGGCCCCCTCATGGAGCTTGTCTTCCCTCTTTTTCTGCCCTGGATGCTGAAGCTGTTATGTTGAAAAGGCGCTCATCTGTTAAACAGGAATTCAAGATCCATTGACTGTTTCCAGGCTAATTTATTTCTGTTGCTGCATATAAGAAATCTTGGCTTGACTTTATCAAGGACCTTAAAAAGAACATGGTTTCACCCACCAAAGAAATATCTGGGAATTTCCCCCAAGAACACTACTGTGTGTATACTCTAGTATTCCTTGTAATGGTCAAATACTGAAAGTCATCTAAGCATCCCCCAAACTACAGGGGTTCAATAAATCACAGTGAGTCAATGAAATTTAAGTCTCACTGAATCCTTTCCCAATTACAACTTGGGTGATTTTATAATGTTACTTGAAAGATCAGTTTTACTTCATACAATTGAATGTGTGTGCCTAAATCTCTATATAAGGTTAAATTATTTGAAGTCTATATTATATATTAAAGGAGGTTAAATTTGGCAGATGGAATAGATGTTCAGTTGTTTTCTCCTACATTGTGTTTTTTCCCTATGATAAAGGCTATAATAACAGAAAAACATCAGATAAGTTTTTCTTTATTGACTTTCAGAACAGTGGTCTGAAATTAAGAGCTTACTACACACCATGGTGAGTGGCCTAGTACAGCCTACTTTTTCTCGGCTCCCAGAGGCTCTGATTGTGCTTTTAAAGACTGAATCCTGGAAACTACAGGTGTCTCTGACCCTTGTCTCCTATCTCCTATCCTTGTCTCCTATCTCCTTCTCTCCTTCTGGCTCAGAAGGAATTCTCTCTCCTGAACCAAGAAGATGGACAGAAAGGGTTGCTCATGGGAACACCTTTCTGCGAACCACCCATGTGGATGCAGTTTTAATCCTTCTCAGTTAATGATACAAACATTTTGGGGTCCATGTCTCTCTGAGGAAGGAGGGACCACCCAGGGACTGTGGTGTTGGGGGTGGGGTGGGATTTTGAAGCCTCAGAGTTTTCTAAAGCTTCCTGTGCACTTATGACATATTGTCTGGTGAAGAATAGCCCATTTAAAGAACAGTGTATTTCCCACTGCTGAGAAAAATAATTCTCCCTTCCTCCCTCCCATAATGGATTTAGCTCCAGTATTTTCAAGCCAGACTCACTGGCTTAAAAGATTTTAGGCCAGCTGTCCTAAAAATAAAGCAATGATGGTGGTGATGACCATAATAATCAAGAGTATGGAAGACAATATTAGTCTTCTCTGTGTGTTTAATCCTCCAAGGAGCTCTGAAAAGAAGATAAGGAAATGCACACTTGAGGGATGAGGATTTGTTGCAGGACATGCAGCTTCTTGGGGGTAAAGCTGTGATTACTGCAGGTAGACCCTAAAGGCTCCAGAGGAGACACCACTCTGCACTGCTGTCATTCACCTGCTTCGTTTAAAGAACCACACTAGGTACTGTAAAACACAGTTCTGAACTCTAAAGGGTTTCCTCATACTGGTCTCTGTTTTACAGAGGAGGGACAAGAGAGCTAATAAAGTGACCTGCCCCTGGTAATGTTGCTGTTCACAGTGACAAACTTGAGCAATGTGGCCCACAAGGAGATGTCTGGACAAGCCAAGTGCCGAGACTGGCTCATGATACAAGAGGCTCCACTCCCTGGACTTAGGTGAAATCAGGTGAACTGACTGTATCTGCCGGCAGTGACCCAGGCTGACACGGCAGTATGAGATCCTGAGAAGCAGTGCAGGCTGAACCCCAACTCATACAGCACCTCCCCTGAGCCATGTAGGCGGAGAGCTCAAGACGGGCAGGGGACTGCAGCCTAGGGAGCTCAATGAATGTCGTCCTCTAGAGAGTTCTCAAAAAATGATGGACACCCCTGACTCCATCAGCATGGACATGGACTGAGACCAGCCGCCCTTCTGATGAGGTCCCTTAGTGCCTTCAGCAGTGATGTGCCCCACAGACACAGGGCAATGACAATGGGCTGCCTCGCATGGGTGGGCACAGGGTAAGCCCCAGTGAGCAATGATCACCACTGACAACATCAGCGTTTCTGGGCCTCCAACGTCTAAGAATTCTAACTCCAAAATGCGTGCTAAGCAGTTTGGTATATTCTCTGTGATGACAAGTAAGAAGGGCAATTCCACAGGACCTTGTGGCTTCTCTGCACACTGGTCCCTGCTCAGGCACGTACGGAGCAGGGCCACGGGGAGAGCATGACTTCCAGTCTGCTGTGGTCAAATGCTCTGCTCTCCTCTATAGACCTGGCAGGACCCTGGCACAGCTGAACACCACAGTGCAGAGGTGCCATGACACCCACGGGCTTTAATGACTGAATGTGTTCAAATGGCCCATTTCTTGAGCACAGAGTATGGACTGTGCCGGGGGAGGCTCATGCAGCTGAGCCCCAGGTGCTCATTGGCTCTTTCCTGCCTGGACCACCCCGTCTTGCCCTCCATGCCCCCATCCCTCTTATTAACACTTTTGTGAATGGAAACACAGCGCTTCTGGGTCTAGCAATAAAGCATATAGATATAATTTTCCTCATTTCCTACCTCTTTCTTGAAGCACTTGGCATGCTCTTCGCAGCCCAGAAGAGACTGTACAAACTTAGCCACCTACAGTGCAAGATGAAAAACCTGAATTAAAACATGCACCTGAAATAATTTGAGGTTTATTTCAACATCTGAGTAAAATATACATCAAATGCTTCAAACACTCAGGATTAAAATGCTGCCAAGTCAGCTGTTCCCAGCTCAGAATTCAGGTCTCTGTTTGGACCTCGTGCCTAGGCCTCTACAAGGTTGCCAATATGATAATGAGGAAGACAGATTACAACAGTGGGGAGCTCTGGAAACTTCTCTCCTTCTGTCCCCATCCCCCCTGTGGGCAGCTTGGCCTTCTGGCAACCTGCGGGTCTGGCTCTTCTACCTAGTCTCCAGTCATTACACAGAGCTTGGCGGGCACAGGAACCAGGTGAACCTGTGCAAGTGGATTCCCAAGTAAAGGATAATTTGAAACTGCACCCAAGAGGTTGACCAATGTACTCAAGATCCCACGTGGCCAGCAAGTTCTAGACATGGGTTTGGATCTCGGCTTTTTCTGCCCCCAAACTGAGTTTGACTGAGAGTAAGGATCATGATTTCTCACTGCGACCCCAGACAAACGTGCCCCGAATTCCTCTGAATAGAGATCAGGTGAGACATCTGCCTGGTGGCTTAGAAAGTCCGGGAATGTTCCGGAAGATACTTTGGGGAGTTGACTGAAATGTCATGAAGTTAGACTTCTAACAACTGAAATCACAGTAGGTCCCTGGCGCTTGCTCACGGTCTGGCCCTGCAGACACTCAGGTGACAAACAGCTGGAAGGTGACCAGAGAGGGCTGGGGGTGCGACTCTGCAGGCGGAAATGCCTGCTGTCTTCTGGTTTCCTCTTCTGGTGTCTGTCCACAGCACTGTGTGCAGCAGCAGGTCAGCATGCACAAGGCCTTATCTCAACATGCTCTATCCTCAGCATCCTGGGCTCTCGGAAGCCCTCGGGAAGCAACTGCCTAGCCCAGACCCTCCCACACCGTGCAGAGCAATATCATGACATTGGCTCATGATCAGCTGAAAAGTGGTGGTTTGTGTACTATGACCGAACACCCTGGGTGCTCCCCTGGATCTCTGTCCTCTGCCAACTGTATTTACTGTGCCAAGTACAATGATTTCAGAACATCTTTTTTTAGGTGCAATGCACATGTTGTCATCAACTCGACTCACCTCTGATGCCAAAAATACTATCTTGAGTCATTTATAATCATCCTTCTAAAATGCAGGATGATGAGAATTGGAAAAGAGAGAGAACACCTCCCCCAAACAGTCCTTGTGCTACCCGATGTGAGTGTATGTTCAAGGGGAGGAGAGGAAGGGGTCAGCTGCCCCCACAGGACTTGGCGCTTGTTGCTTCTTGGCCATTTCGGCTCAGGGAATGCTGGGAAACCAAGTCTAACTGCTCCTACAGTTCTCTTTCCCAGGTGGAAGGGAAGCGTGGAGTGTGGGTTTGGGATCTGCAAGGAGCCGAGGAAAGTCTTGAAATGCTGTTGGGCACATTGCAGAGACAGTCACAGGGGCAAGTGCCAGAGAAGGAATAAAAGGTCTGCTGTCTGGGACACAGAGAGGTTGCTCGTCCCTTCACCCCCTCGAGGCCCCTGCAGACAAGGAAGTTCTGAATGAGGCTCTGAGTGAGGCCTCTGCCCTGGGGGCAGGGTTGGTCTGAACATTCTGTGAGTTTGCAGGTAGATGAGTGACTGGAGACTGGGGGAAATGGTGAGTAAAGAAAGGCTTGTGAATCTCCACAGTACATGCTCACATATGCTCAAATCCACAAGAGAGGCATAAAGGCTACGGGGATTCTAGAAGGGACAGATGGTCCGTCAGGTGGGAGCGCAGGAAGAGCCTTGCCAGGGAGGGGGAACCGAGATAAGCACTGCTGAAGGCTCAGCATGTCTCCCTGGGGGTGTGGATGTTACCCACAGGCAGCCGGAAGGGAAGGGAGGAGGAGGCCAAGGCTGGGAGGAGACCACGGTTTCCAGCTGGGCTTGTCCTTCTAACAGCAGGCAGCCTCGAGCCCTGGCAGCACCTTGGACCCACCTGCAGCATTCTAAAAACCACTCTCGGATCTGGGGACACGGTTCAGCAGTGGAGCACTTGTCTTGCTTGTGCGACTGGCCCTGGGTTCAATTCCCCCCAAACACATACACACACACTCTGCTGGAGTAATTAAGCTAGACTGGATAAAGTACTCAGCATACATTTATACATTTTCTGGTTGATTCTATCTAAAGTGCTATTCAGACAGGGGACCAGAGTAAGAGAAAGCTGGGAGACAGCTAAAGCAGTTGGTGCAGGGAGTGTTAAGAACCCACCTGGCTCAGACAAGCCTCACCCATGAGAGAATCTGCAGAAAAACCAAGGTACGTGAGATCATGACTGAAATCTCCAAGCTCACTTGGAGCAGGACTGGGTCTCCTTTCCCCAGCTCCCAAGTTTTCCAGGAGCTTGGCCGTCACACCCACAAACTGCCCCTGGTGCCATATAATCTCATCAATGACCAAGAAGAGAGCAACATAGGCTCTACCCATGAGTGAATCTGCTCTATAACCGTATTCAAAATTTTAGAAATCCTGGAGCACACGGCTGTGACCTCTCATACTCTACTCCACTGATGGACCAAGAGTAGCACACATTTGCTTGGGTTTAACATACATGATCTATAATATCTTACACACGGGCTTAATGGCTCCAGGATGAAATACAACAAGCTTCACCACACTTCACCACGCTTTTCCTCTTTGGTGGTGGAAAGGTGCAGTGGTGGTGGGATTAGTATTTGAATATTAAATGCAATGAATTATTGTGAACAACTTTATAAAAATAAAATTAAATTAAAAGGAAAGAACCCATCTGGGTGCTCCCCACCAGACAGAGCTGGGTATTGGAGGTGCTGCAAGGTGGCCTGAGAAGGCTCTGCCTACAGGCTGGATGTGTGGAAGAACGAACCCAAATTGAGCGCAGCAAGAAGGCTGCAAAGCAAGTTTCTCACCTCCAGCAGGCCAAGACAGGGGCCACGGGTCCCTGCCTGGGCTCCTGGCACAGAGCAGGGCATGGCAGCCTCTCTGGCCTCTGCTTGCCAGGTGCCATTGATCCCTCCCTACTCCCAGCTGTGCAACCAAAAATGTGTCTAGATGGCACTCCCATGCCATGGCGAAGAGTCACGGCTCTGAAGGGCACCTCTGGGGTGGTGTGTCTACAGGCAAAAAGGCTGAAGGTGACAGCAGAAAAAAATCACATGGGCTGGCTGTCACTGGGAAGTGACTAGAGAGATTCTGTTGCTGCCCTGGGGAGGGCAGGCCAGTCAAGGGGACCCCGACTTCTTCAAAGCAAAGGAAAGGGTTAGGGAGGTGCTCCATAGCCAAAAGACTGTATGTGGCTCTTACTGGGATGCTTTGTTTTGGACATTAGAATGTCCTTTTTCTGGGCTGGAGCAATAGCACAGCGGGTATGGCGTTTGCCTTGCAAGCGGCCAACACGGCCGACCTGAGTTTGATTCTTCTGCCCCTCTTGCAGAGCCCAGCAAGCTACTGAGAGTATCTTGCCTGCACGGCAAAGCCTGGCAAGCTACCCATAACGTATTCGATATGCCAAACACAGTAACATTTGTCACCATGGAGACGTTACTGGGCCCGCTCAAGCAAATCGATGAACAAAGGGAGGTTAGTGATTGAGTCCTTTTTCTGGACAAGCAAACAAATTCCTCAGTATTATTACTTAAAAAAAAATCGCTGTTGGTGCTGGAGCATAACAGCAGGTAGGGCATTTGCCTTGCTTGCAGGAAATGTGGGGTTGATCCCTAGCATCCCATTTGGTCCCTGCCCCGAGCACAGCAAGGAGTTATTCCTGGGTGTAGAGTTAGGAGTCAAGTCCTGAGCATTGCTGTTAAGAACCACATACAATCAAACAAACAAAAATCACTGCCTATGTCAAAGGTATATTATATTTTAAAAAAAGGGGAGGGGCATAAAATTGTGTTAAACTCGGGGCTGGAGTGATAGCACAGCAGGTAGGGCATTTGCTTTGCAAGTGGTCGACCTGGGTTTGATTCCCAGCATCCCATATCACATGATCCCCTGAGCACTGCCAGGGTTAATTCCTGAGTGCATGAGCCAGGAGTAACCCCTGTGCATTGCTAGGTGTGACCCAAAATGCAAAAAAAAAAGTGTGTTAAACTCAAGTCAAAGGGTAAACACCCCACTCCGGTGTGAAGATGGACAGGTTGGGAGGCACCATCCCTGTCCCTGACCTGGGCCCTGGCTGGTCACTTTATCAGTGACTGAAGGAAATGCTCTGTCTTCTGGAATAAGATTTTGATTCTATTCAATCTGTTTTTTGTGTGTGCGTGTGTGTGTATGTGTGTGTGTGTGCGTGCGTGTGTGTCTTTGCGTGCATGTGTGTATGTTTCCTCTGTAAAAGAGTAAGGCACCAATTCTATTGAGACAGACTTTCCTAGGAAGAATCATAAAACAGCTAAAGGCCTGGAGCATTATTCACTATCATTATTCACTACACTGTTAGTCAGTATTTATTCCTTCTGTGAACAAATTACAATTCAGCTTTTAACAGTAGCCCACTTTGCTGCTCCTCCTCTAACCGGAGTGTTGAGAGCCTGGGCACATCTGAGAGGATGTGTCCTATCAGAAGTTTCCTCCTCATCCTCCCCATCAGAGTCTGTTTTCTTCCTCACATTTATAGCTCATGTGCGGTCACACTCACTTCAGTGAACGCTGTGATGACGGCCATCCTCATATACACCCACGGTGGCCGTGTGGACACCACGCACCTGCGTGTCCCCGGTGATGGTGGCTATTGGTAGACCCTGGGGGGTGCTGGATACAAGCTGGCTCTGGAGGATGATCCGAGGGCGCTCCCCTAGGGACCTGCAGCCCAAATCCTGCCTCCCTCTGGACAGCTACAAGGAAGTTAATTGTTGGGATGACAGGAAGTCGGGAGAGGCTAAGAAAGACGACACTGCAGGCTCTGGATGAGCCCATTACTTCACCCAAGTTACCCCCGCACTGACC